GACTCAGCAGTGACCAGAGGGAAATCATGTTTCTCAAATAGAGAGGATATATGTGTGTGAGGCGGGTGTAAGTGCATGTGATGGTGAATCAGATCTCTCCTGGGACGGTGGATGTGAGGGATCCAAAGCTTTTGGAACTTTTCTATTGGGCTTTAGGTCTTCTTTAGGCAGAAGGATCCAGCAATGCAAGTAATTAACCATGATGGCTAAGGCTGGGACTGCAAATCAGGAATGAAAATATCCGAGAAAGGACCAGTGATCCATCCGCGTTAGGAGCCTAGACAGAGGAAGACCTTCAGGTGGTTGAAAAGTGTAAGAAGCCTGATTAGGTCATAAGAGGTCAGAATTCCAGAACTTTCTGCAGCCTGAAGCAACTGATCAAGGATTCAAGTGGGAAATGTAACATAAATGTCATCTGGTCCTATCTTTCTCCCTTGTATTCTAGTGTCAGCTGACTTTTTTCTGCCAATGCACACATGGCGACTTCTGAGAGAAGAGAAAGCAAAGTTGAGTTGTACCCAAATGAGAGCTGTAAAGTTGCTTATCTTGACAGGAACCAAAGAGAATGATAGGATGCTTTGGAAAGCCATTGAAATTTTCTAAGGAGAACAACTGATTTTGAATATAGCTATACAAAGACACAGATGAATTATTAACAAACTAGCAGCTTCATATTGTGAACTCTAGGCCCAAGCCAATCAGGATTGATTGATACGTATCAGAGAAATGTGAGGAACATTGTGTCTGTATTGAGGTATGCAGATAAGGTCATTGCTCTTGAGAAGCTGAGAGTCTAAATGGAGAGGTGGAGCAAACAAATATGAAAGAACTCTTAGGGCTCATACTGAAATGTAAGCAAACTGCTTAAAGAGAATGACACTCCACATGTTAGAACAGAAGGAGGAGGCCTTTTTTAGATCATTACAAGAATCAGCTTGTTGAGGGGAGGCTTCTTGAGAACTGGGAAGCCATATCAAAGAAGGGAAAGGGGGAGGAATAGGTAGAGAAGCCAAACGGATGTTAGAAAAAAGGTCACGTTAGAGTAGTGGTTCTCAAAGTGCTTACTGACGCTTGGGAGTCTCTGAGACCCTTTCAGGGAGTGTGTGAGGCCAAAGCTATTTTGATGATAATACTGAGATGTTGTTTGCCCTTTTAAAAAATTGTGTTTAAAAATGCATAACACAATTTACCCATCTTAACCATTTTTAAGTGTATAGTTCAGTACCGTTAAGTATATTCACATGGCTATGAAGCCAATCTCCAGAACTTTTTCATCTTGCAAATCTGAAACTCTATACCCATTAGACAACAACCCCTAATTTTTCCCTATCCCCAGCCCCTGGTAACCACTATTCCATTTTCTGTTTCTATGAATTTGCTTACTTTACAAACTTCATATAAGTGGAATTATCTAGTATTTGTCTTTTGTGACTGGCTTATTTCACTTAGCATAATGTCCTCAAGGTTCACCCATGTTGTAGCGTATGGCAGGATTTCCTTCTTTTTTTTTTAAGGCTGAATCATATTCCATTGTATGTATATACCACATTTTGTTTATCCATTCATCTGTCATGGACATCCGAGCTCCTTCTACCTTTTGGCTATGGTGATACTATTTGCCTTTTTCACTGAGTTGACATTTACACTGATGATGCAAAAGCGATGGTGGGTAAAACTGCTGGTGCCTTAGCACAAATCAAGATAGAGCACCAAATTATACTAGTAGTTATGGCAGTCTTCATTGTCACACAATTGCAGTGGGAAGAAAAGTCTAATTCCACTTAAGAATATCTTTTTAATATTCTGTGTGACAAAATGGGAAATAGGAATTAAGCACTTTTGTTGCATACTCAGGTTGTCTCAAGGAAAAGCACTTAGGCAGTTGTTTGAGTTGTGAGCTGAACACAGTCATGGAATACTATTTTTCACTTGAAAGAATAACTGTCAGAAAAACTGTAGATTTCAGATGTGGGTATTTCATAGACATTTTCTTGAAAATGAATGAAGTAAAAACCTGTCACTTTAAGGAAAATAACTGTCAGTATTTATTGCCAGTGATAAAATTTGAGCTTTTAAGTGAAAATTAGAAGTTTGGGAAGTTTGTATCTGCCACTGTGAGTTTGACAGCTTCCCAATACTTAAAAGACTTTTTTGATAAAATTGGTAGTGATATTCATGAATGTGTGTGGTTTTTTGGTAGAATGAAATCTGTCAACATTAAGAAGATTTGCATAGCTCAGCGAACCAGTATTTTCCAGTATACGATGTGACAACATTACGCATGGGTAAAAGCAATTTAAAGTGAAAGACCAGTGCATTTTAATGTAACAGTATGAAAAGTTCTTAGAGTTTAGATTCCACATTGCAACCAACCTTTAAGAAACTCCACTTGTCGAGTTTCAGTGTAGTACCAATGATCTAAAAAGTACTCTTCCCTTTTCCAACAACATACCTGGGTGAAGCTTGATTTTCTTCATATACTTCAATCAAAACAACTTATCGTAACAGATTGAATACAGAAGCAAATATGAGAATCTAGTTATCTTCTATTAATCCAGACACAAAAGAGATTTGCAGAACTCTAAAACAATGCCACTCCTCTAACTTTTTTGTTTTAGAAAATAGTTGTTTTTCATAAAATATGTTAATAGGTAATGAGTTTGCTATTGTGTCTAAATAAATAAATAAGTATTTTTAAATGTTCTGTTTTATTTTCTAACATGGTAAATATAGATAGATGTACCACAAAAGCTCTTTGGGGTCCAGTAATTTTTTTAAGGCTATAAAGGGGTCCTGAGCCCCAAAATTTTGAGAACCAATGTACTGGAAAAAGTTATTCATTAAGCAGGAGGGGACAGGATCCAGAATCTTGTCAAAGAGAAGTAGAAGGGGTGGTTTTCAGAGAAGGAAAGCAGATAAAGATCTGTGAAGTAGAAAGGTTGCTGATGAGAAATGAAAAGTCACTTCGGGCTGGAGATGGATTATCTTGCCTATTTCTTTTCTATCTGTGGCACACAGATGTCTGCCCAGCTTTCCTGTGATAGAAGTGAGCTGTTACGAGTTGACTGGTGGATTGTGAGCCCATTTCAGCCCAATCATTTGATTAGAATGGGAAAGTCTGTGGTGGAATGGAATCTTTAGGACTGTAACCTTTCTAGTGTGTAACAGACTTTTACCATCTGCTTCACTTCCTGCAACTCACTCTCATATCAGATCCAGAAAAAAGTTCTACCTGACCCTATCCTAAGCAATAATTTACAGCATTGTATTGAAGCTCAAATATATGTTCTCCTCTTTTTAAAATAATGCATTGTGTGTTATAGAATAGGAAAGGTACTCAGCTTTACTTTATTGATTTCAGAACTGTTTCTACACAGTCTTCTTTTCATCAAGTTTGCTTTTCTGTCCAAAGTAAGGAACTCTGTAGTCTGTGCAGCAATGTGAAATCACCAGTAAACACAGGCTAGATTGCTCTGAGAGGTATGACACATGGCTTACTTTTCTGGATTTACTGTGAAGGGAATGTTACCTGCAATGCAAGACCCCTCACTTGCATGGGCCCCTTTTGTATTTGTAATGTTGAATATTTTGTGTAAAAGAACCTTCCTCTCCCATTATATTAGTTTCAGGCTTCACAAAAGCTAGTTCTAAAGGGTTCTATGTAAGGGTCTTGGGGATCTGGGCGTTACCTCTAAAGACAATGTTGCATGATAGGGCAGAAGGGAGTTTAGGTGTATTACTTGAAAAAATTCACAACATTACTTTCAGAATATTCGTTCAATTATTAGCTCAACCTATGGTAATATTTATTCAAATTTAAAAGAATCTAGAAGGCAAAATTTTAGTCTGCCTACCATGCATTATATATTAGCATCAAGAAAGAGCTCTCCGGGCTTCCCTGGTGGCGCAGTGGTTGGGAGTCCGCCTGCCGATGCAGGGGACACGGGTTCGTGCCCCGGTCCGGGAAGATCCCACATGACACGGAGCGGCTGGGCCCATGAGCCATGGCCGCTGAGCCTGCGCGTCCGGAGTCTGTGCTCCGCAACGGGAGAGGCCAAAACAGTGAGAGGCCCGCGTACCGCAAAAAAAAAAAAAAAGAAAAGAAAAAGAAAGAAAGAGCTCTCCTTTTTTGAGTAATAAGCTAAAAGCCATTCTTATTCTCACCAGGCTCCTCTTCAGGTGAAGCCTTTGAAGAGGAGTCATCAGTGACGTTTGTACTTTTCAGACCCATACGCTCTGAGGAAACTTTAGTATTTATTAAAGCCTCATCACTCAGAAGAAGGGTTTTATCAGCTTTTAGCCTTCTTTTCTTTCTGGGTATTTCAGCCCTTTTCTCCAGAGAGTCTTCTGCTATTTGTTCTCCCAATAGCTATGTAACAAGCACAGCACTGTGCTAACTGCTCAACATACATTTTTGCCTCTCTGAGAGTAGAGACTCCTAACTACCCTCATTTCACAGATGAGGGAACAGCTTGAGAGAAGTAATTTCCTGAAGGTCACAAAACATAGAAAGTGCTAGAGCTGAGACTCAAACCTTGGGATTTTGGTGGTAACATCTTTACTTGTTCCGTCTTCCTGCTGTCAGCCAGATATCATTCCGCCATATTCTTCATGTTTATATACAGAAAGGATAGATAGAGAAGAAATTATTAGAATTGCTTTAGTTATCTAGTGTGCATAGCAAACCACCCTCAAATTTAGTGGCTCAGTATTTACTCAGGCCTAGAAGCCCTTTAATGCTTAGTAAAAGATTTGCTACCCTGGCCAGTTTCAGAACTAACCCCAAACTTAGGGGAGTCTTTTGGTTACCTAATTTCAGTATAAACCAGCTGTTGCCTCATATACATCAGTAAATATGATCAATATTGTTTCATTCCTTTGTTAGGATGTGTAGTCCCATGTGCCTGGCACATGTAGGCACTTAATGAAGACTCACGAACAGATGAATTAAGTGGTGGTGCTATTTGCTTAACACTAGTTTCTCTTTTTGCCCGGCTTAGGTATTTGGCTCGAGTAGGAGATCTTGAAGCTACTGACACTGAAGACCCAAATCTAAATTATGGACTTGTTGTGGACTGTGGCAGCAGTGGCTCTCGGATTTTTGTTTATTTCTGGCCAAGACATAATGGGAATCCTCATGACTTGTTGGACATCAAACAGATGAGAGACCGTAACAGCCAACCAGTGGTTAAAAAAATCAAGCCAGGTACTAAATGGAATATATTTCATTGTCAGTCTCTTTTATCTGCTACAGAAATGAGAGGACAGAAGAGAAGAGGGGGAAAGAAAGCTACCCTTTTCTTCTGGAGGTTCTGGATAATGGGAGGGATTCATTGCTACCCTTCTCTTATGAAATAAATGTTTAGGATCTTAAACAGAACCTTATGGGGTATCAGTCTTCTGAGTCTATGTGATCTGCTCTTTAAAGAAAGTATTTTATCTTACTTAAGGAATCTCTGCAATGGCAGACACTCCAGAACATGCCAGCGATTACCTTCGTCCTCTGCTGAGCTTTGCTGCTGCTCATGTGCCTGTGAGGAAGCACAAGGAGACCCCCCTTTACATCCTATGCACAGCAGGCATGAGGCTTCTCTCCGAGAGGTGAGATGCAGGAGAGTGGGTGGCCCAAGAGTTGAAAGTGCAGTTTTATACATTATTCTCTGTGGTTCCCTGGTCTGAAGGCAGGATGTGGGTACAGCACACAGAGTTGACAGGTGGCACTAAAAGACTTCTTGCTCAAAATAGAGCAGAGCCACTCCTACACCCCGTTATTTCGCAATCAGTTGATCACACCTCCATGTCGTTTGCTTCTTTGGGATCAATATCTATTTGAGATGGTTGTAATGATTCTTAGTTTTGATTGAGGGTTGGGAGCAGTGGTGATGTAATAAATTTGGATCATGAGGCACCTAGAAGGGGAGCATAATTTCAGAAGGGTAGTAGGAGGGTCACCTGAGGGACTGGGTACCTGGGGTCTAGTAGGAGGGCTCTGGGAGGAATGGGGTTTTCTCTATAACTTTGCCTGGCTCCCTGATGATAGTTGGTGCTACTTGCAAAGCTTAGCCTCCATTGCTTTAGACCACTTTTTTCAACCCCTGCTGGTTAAGTCTTTTCCACTTGACCTTGGCAGTTTAGCCTGGCTTTTTGCCACCTGATCCTTCTTCCTTCACTGAAAGAGGAGGAAGACGAAGAGGCAGCAGCTATGCTTAGGTCAGACCCCTCCTTGTTTGTGATTGCTCCCTTTTGACACCTCCCTGACCCCTCCATACTTATGGTCTTGAGGTAGGAATGAGCTCCCTTAACTTGAGCACCCATCCTTCTGCAATGTTCACAGTCTCATAGTCATAGGGTATTTTTTATTAGCTTAAATGTTTTTCCTTGATAAATAGCAGTTCCCTTTTCCACAAAGTTTCATTTCATGTACTTGGCCAACAGCAATGAAAACCTCTGCCATGTGTGTAGGGCTCCATTCTGCTTGTGCCAGACATGTATGTCAACACTTCTTCCAGTTGACTACTTTCCTTCTGCTCAGACACAGAGTTACTGGTTTACTGTTGAGAAGCAGATTATTTTATGTAGCCATTTGTCAATCTGAAAGGCCTTCTAGCTCCTTGTTTTCCCATACATCTTGATCTTTAAATTTTTTTTTTGGTTTGTTTTTACTTATTTTTAAAACTAAAGTTTAAAATGCTATTGCTAGAACCTTACATCATTAAAGGAAATCTTAAAATCAAAACAAAGAAGTTATAATTCTACTGCCCTATCAAAACTGTTTCATTTTGTCCTATTCCTTTCTCTCTGTATATCTATGTGTAACTTCTACAAAATTGTAATCATACTACTCGTGAAATTTAGAATTTTTGTTTTTGACATAAGTAATACATCATTCAAACTTTTAGAAACCATGTGAAGAGTATGGATGACATAAGTGGTGCCACATCACAGGGCTGTGAGTGGACTAAGGTCTCACAAACAAGGAAGGAGAGTGGAGGGCCAGAGAAAAAGCTGACTCGGAGGTCAAAAAGGCAGAGCCAACCAGCAGGGTGATGAAATGGCCACATTTTGTGTGTCTGGAGCAAAGGAGAGGATTGCCTCATCTCCTGGCACTGCCCAGCCTTTCCTCTGTTTGTCAAAGAAGTTTCTATTTAAACAAAATCAACTATGTAGCTCCACCCCATTTGTCTAAGATGTTCCCTGTCATCGTGGAAGCTCTGAATATTAGTATTTATTTTATCTTAAGAATTTTTAAAGAACTTGCCTTTAACTTTTTTTTTTTTTTTTTGCGGTACGCGGGCCTCTTACTGCTGTGGCCTCTCCCATTGCGGAGTACAGGCTCCGGACGCGCAGGCTCAGCGGCCATGGCTCACGGGCCCAGCCGCTCCGCAGCATGTGGGATCTTCCCGGACCGGGGCACAAACCCGTGTCCCCTGTATCGGCAGGCGGACTCTCAACCACTGCGCCACCAGGGAAGCCCTAACTTGTTTTTTGATCAGCTCTTTTAATAATGCCTAGATCTACCCTGGGCTTATGAAATCATTGCTACCTCTAAGGTAGCTATAGTTGTTGACGTAAGTGTAACAATCACTGCAAGAACCTGTTTTGTATAATTAATGCTTTGTTAATTTATTAGCATTTGTGAGCAATATTCAAAATGGGTTTGAATCCCCTGGACTGTATTTTGGATTTATTAGCACTAGGTTTTATTTTTTTGCCGAAGGCCTAGACTAACAGAATTTGTTCCACTGCCTTTTTAGTTTGTGATGGAAATACCTTTAAAGAATTACGAAGTGATAATTTAAGAAAAAAAACTTTATTATGGGAAATTTCAAATGTATATAGAAGTAGAGAGAATGATGTAATGAATCCGCATTTACTTGCCACCCAGCTTCAACAATTGTCAATGTTTTGCCATAAAATGTTTTTTTTTAAAAAAGAAACAATATTGAATTTTAGAAAATGAAAGTTCTGTCCTATCCTGTGTAATACATGAAGAGTGTTTTGTTTATTAACATAAATTGGGATCATATTATATGTACTGTTTTGTAACCTGTTGGAACTCAAAATATATTGGACATCTTTTCATGTCAATACATGTAGATATAAATTGACCTCATTTCTTTTAACATCTGTGTACTATTACATTGCATGACTATCCCGTAAATTATTTAGCCAGTCACTACTGATATATGTGCATTTAGGTTATTTCCAGTTTTTCATTGTTATAAATAATGCTGTAGTATTTTTTCTCTCTGTATTCTTATCTGATGATTTCATTGCAATAAATGTCTTAAAATGTAGTCGCTGGGTCAAAGGTTAAGCACATTAAAAACTTTGATACCTAGTCCCAGATTGCCCTTTAGAAAGGTTGTACCAGTAATTTATATTCCAAACAGCAGTGTGTGTTGGTACCCATTCTTCCATGTCATCACCGAAACCAGCAAGCCCTCTTCTTTGGGTAGTTTAGAACCATATCCAATAAGGAGGGCAAAATAGCACCTCTAGTTCCCCATATGAAATTTTTATCATAAAAATTTCTTGTGTATAACAATGACGTTATATATTGGAAGATTATTACTTTAAATGTAATTTTCACTTTCAAGTGCTAATAACATTCTTCACCAAGTCATGCTGGCAACCAGGATAGCCAGCAGAATATTTTTGTAATGAGTAATTTTAAAAATCCAAGATAATTGCTCTTATTTTTAACGAGCATTGTCTCTAGATTTATATGATTACTTCTAGCTTTGTTTCTTTGCTTGTTTTTATCTGATAATACTAATAACATAAAACTTTAGAGGACAAAACAGCGCTGTAGATACTAAGCTTCAAGCGTCATCCCCAAATTATGACCTTTGGATTTTGATCCTGGTCTGGGTTTTCCAAATGATAAGATTTTTATAAAGAAAAAAAAAAATCAACCTTGAAATATGGAAAAGGAGGTTTAAAAGTTCATTGTTAATGTAAAGGATCATGTAAAAATTTGTGGGCCAAACAGTGCTTCTTATGTGGTGATGTGAGACACTTTTTCTGTATTGTGTGAGATCTAAGGATGAGATTGTGTTCCTCAATTTAACAGCTTCCTTTCATAGTGGTTAGGAGTAACGTAATTACATCTGTTTTATAGATTATGAAACTGTGTTTCAGTTTCCTGTAGCTTGTCCATACTTAGCCTGTGAGAGGCATAGAACCATAGTCTCATCTTTTAATACTATTTGAATTGTAACATTGTATAAAGGATAAGTATTACTGTTACCATATTGCCTTTTAAGAAGGAGGCTATACTTTTTTTTAAAATAGATCTTTATTGGAGTATAATTGCTTCACAATACTGTGTTAGTTTCTGTTATACAACAAAGTGAATCAGCCATATGCATACATATATCCCCATATCTCCTCCCTCTTGCATCTCCCTCCCACCCTCCCTATCCCACCCCTCTCGGTCATCGCAAAGCACTGAGCTGATCTCCCTGTGCTATGCTGCTGCTTCCCACCAGCCATCTATTTTACATTCGGTAGTGTATATATGTCGATGCTACTCTCACTTTGCCCCAGCTTCCCCCCACCCTGCCCGCCCCGTGTTCACAAGTCCACTCGCTATGTCTATGTCTTTATTCCTGCCCTGAGGAGGCTATACTTTTGAGTAATTTTAAACCTTTGAAATCTCGAAGGGGGTACCAAACAGAAGCAGAGATCAAGTGTCTTGGGTAGGTGAACAGCGAGGTCTAACAAGGCTAAGTAGAAGGTCAAGTTGAGGTTGTTTGTGAGAAGAGAGTTTAACCATTAACTCAGGTTTTTTGTTCTTTCTTGCAGGAAGCAGTTGGCTATCTTGGCTGATCTAGTGAAAGATTTACCTCTGGAGTTTGACTTCCTCTTTTCTCAGTCTCAGGCAGAAGTGATCTCTGGGAAGCAGGAAGGTATTGGGCCTTGAGGAGTAAAAGCTTGCACTTGGGGTTTGTAGTTTTGGGGTGGAGTTGAATGCATGTTCTCATGTAGCCCAAATGTGGCCTGTATGATGAATTATGTTTCAATTTCTTGAAAAACAGAAAATCTTTTGTCTTCTAGTTGCAGTTCACATAAAGGAAAAGATTCACCTTTTTCAACCTCAGTATTGCCTTTTTCAGTCCTAAAATTCCCATTTGGTTTTACTCCATTTCTTTGCTGAGACTTTCTATCTTTCCATTCATTGGAAGACTGCTCTTATTTCCTGGCTGTATAGCTGCTTTATTTGATAATTCCAACACCTGTGTCATCTCAGGGTTGGCATCTTTTCCCTTGAGATTGGAAAGGTTGAGATTTTCCTAGTTCTTTGTATGACAAGTCATTTTTTTTTTTTTTTCTTTGCGGTACACGGGCCTCTCACTGTTGTGGCCTCTCCCGTTGCGGAGCACAGGCTCCGAACGCGCAGGCTCAGCGGCCATGGCTCACGGGCCCAGCCGCTCCGCGGCATGTGGGATCTTCCCGGACCGGGGCACGAACCCGTGTCCCCTGCATCGGCAGGCGGACTCTCAACCACTGCGCCACCAGGGAAGCCCTGACAAGTCATTTTATATTGTATCCTGGATATTTTGAATATTACATTGTTAGGCCCTGGGTCTTGTTTCAATCATAAAGAGAATGTTAATTTTTGTCTTAGCAGACTGGTTAGGTTCAAGCCTTAAGTTCTGACCTGGCTTCTGTGGGCTGTGATTCTGCTGATTCATTTTTCAAAGCTTTGGCACGGCTATTTGGATTTGTCCCATGTGTGTGCCAGCCAGTGGCCCGTCTGAACCTGGGCACAGCCCCATACAAATGTGTTGACTAGCCAGTATGTCAGTTCTCAAAAGCTTTGATATGTTGTTTAGAGTCAGATCATGCATGTGAGTCCAGGAGTTCCTACACCAGTTTATTCCCCACTCTCCACAGTCTCCCCAATACTTTCTGGTTCCCTGAGGTTCACTTTCATGGTCCTTAGGTCAGAAAGCCAGGGATTTAATTTGCCCACTCTGCCGTGCATTTCCCATGACTGCATCTATATCCAAGGCTAAGTGGTAGAGGACGGAGGGAGAAAAAGAAAGCAATAGGGATTTGCCCCAGCTCTTGAGGCTGTAGCTCCTCTGGTCAGAAAGAAGGATTCACATCTCTCACATGCCTGGTTTAGGCATCTACCCAGTCTCTACCTCTGCTGTTGCAAGATTGCCTGGGGTAGGAGAGAACAGAATTTTTAAAAAAGCAAGGAATTTCTTGCCACTCTTTCTGAACCTTTGGAGTCCCCTTTTCTGATCCTTGGACCACAAAGCAAGGTCTTGAAGTTCTTTCTGTCCACATCTGGTGTGTACTTTTGTATTTCAAGCTGATTTTGAGTCCAGGCCAGGCAGTATCTGAGGGGGAAAAATGGGAAACTCACTGTGGTTTTGGTGGTACTTTAAAGTCTGATCTCTGTCCCAGTGTGCCCACTATCATTTACTTTCAGAGTTCTCAGAAAGCTGCTCCAAACAGTCTATCCAGAGTTTATACTTGTAGTCAGTAGGGAGACAGGGTGAGTGTGCTTGCCCAGAACTAGAACTCCAAGACTTTTATCTTTTTACATTTATTTTTATACATTAATTCCTATTCATTGTAAGAAATTTAGAAAATGCAAATAATTTTAAAAGGGAAAAACATCACAAGATAAAAGATTTTAAATTCATCCACTGAGAGTGTGGAATAAAATACTGTTATCACTTTTTTTCCAAGAAAAGGAGGAAAAGAGCAGCCCTGGGAGAGTTATATACATGCTATAGCAGTAGAGGATTAAGCAAGGGCTTTTATATTTCTTACTTAGGGGTTTATGCATGGATTGGAATCAACTTTGTTTTGGGAAGATTCGACCATGAGGATGGTGAGTAGTATTGTCTTCTTATGACAGTTCTAAGGGCTGTAGGTTTATGTCATAACCTATCAGTAGCATGTAAGTGCTAATTTTGAGTTTTCTTTCTTTTTTTTTCTTTCTTTTTTCAAAACTTAAGATGCTTCATTTCCCAGTCGTAATTTGCTTTCTTTTATTTCTTTTTAACTTTTTAATATGGAAAGTTTCAGGCATTCACAAAAGTAGAGTAATTAATAAAATGAACCTCCATGAACCCATTACCTAGTTTCAACAGTTATTAACAATTTGCCATTGTTTTGTTCCCACACTCCTTCCATACAACACAGGTTTTTTCCCCTACTGGATTTTTTAAAAAATATCTTTATTGGAGTATAATTGCTTTACAATGTTGTGTTATTTTCTGCTGTAACCCTACTGGATTTTTAAAAGCAAACACCACACATAATCACTTTGTCTTCATGTACTTCAGTAATACCTCTAATAGATAAGGAGTTTCAAAACAAACCAACAAAAATATCCACAGTTCCATTTTTATTTGATTTTTTTCTTTTTTTTTTTTTAAATTGTTTTGCTGCACCATGCCATGCAGCTTGTGGGATCTTAGTTCCCCAACCAGGGATTGAACCTGGGCCCTCAGCAGTGAAAGCGTGGAGTCTTAACCACTGGACAGACAGGGAATTCCCCCTCAGTTCCATTTTTAAACTTAACAAACTTAACAATTCCTAATATCATGTATTGATAACAACCATCTCATACCTAGGTAGAGAGTTCCCCGATTGTATCAAGAATATTTATTTGTAGTTGTCTTGTTCAGATCAGAATCTGAACATAGATCACAGATTACATTTGATTGATAGGTCTCTTTTAATCTATAACAGTTAACCTTCCCCCCAAACTCTTTTTTCCAAATCATTCAACAAACAACAACAACAACAAAAACCCAACAACCAAAAAACAACCAAAACTGGGTCACTTGATGGAATGAATTTGCCACATTCTGGCTTTGGTTGACTGAATCTTTGTGGGATCTTTAACATGTTTTTCCTCCCCTCCCCCGCTTTTGTTCTGTAAACTGGAGGTTAGGTATAGAAGCTTGATTAGACCCAGATTCAGTTCTTTTGGCAAGAATAAATCATAGGTGGTGCTGTTTCCTGCTGTATCACATCAGGAGTTTTGTAATATCTGGTTGTCTTACTTTTAGTCATGTTAAGACTGAACAGGTGTTCAGGATTCAGGTATTGTCAGTCTGATCTGATCTGTTATAAAAATTTTCTATCGACTTTTCACCTAATGGCTATAGCAGCCAATTGTGATCATTACTTAGATTTGTTTTCTCATTAGAGGTTGCAGAATGGTGATTTTTCTAATTCTGTCATTCTTTCTGCATTTTAACAGTTAGGATTTTTATATAATGAAATTTTCTTCATTAGCCATTTGGTTATCCTGAAATATAGTTCCTACGGGAAAAACAGAATGAACCCTTGATTCTTTGCTTTTATTTATCAAGTTTTTGAATAATGAGCTGGTGTCCTAGAAACTTCCGGAGGTAACCAGTGAATTTTTTTTTCAGTATTCTTATGAACTTGCGGATTTTAATTTATCTGATGCATTGCAGTCCATCACATCATTATTCTTTTTGGTGCTCAAATTTTACCATCGTTGGCCGGTAGGAGCACATTTAAGTTGGCTCTTGTACCCTTTTAACATGATCCCGGTAGTCTTTTCTGTTTCCCTGGCATATTGGCATACGATGGTATTCTATGCTCATCTTGTATTTTTTCTACTCTCAGACCCTAGCATCAGCCATTTTTTTTAAGGAGCCCTTGTTTCTTTTAGTGGAAAATGATGTTTAGAGATTGTGGTCTAGACAACAGCAGTGCTCATTGCTCCTGGATTATCATCGCTTCTAGGCCTTTTCAGTGGACAGAGCTAGGAAATTGTATTTTTTTAAAAAGAAAAATAAATCATGATCTCATAGTGATAGTTCTGATTCATATTTAAGATTATAAGATTATTGTTTAATTTCTTTGATTTTATATTAAAATCAAATCCTTTTTCTCTTATGCTGAATATTTGTTCCTAAAGCTATTTACATAAACATTTATTTAACTTTATTTCATAATATATGTTTAATTGTTTAAAAATAATAATACCAATAATGTATTACCAATAAAACTACTGGAATGCAGTTTATTTGTTTCTTTTGTCATTAAGATATATTCTACAAGAGATACATAGTCAAAATACCATGTTTTAAGTCACTTAAAGTAATTCTTTGTATAATATATAGTTGGTACAGTTAGATTAATTTATCTCAGTTTGCTTTCAATTTTTTAAGGGATTTCTGGGGTTTTTTTCCCTTTAAACTTAATTTTGGCTTTTAATTACTAGACCCCTTCTGTTCTCTTATTTCCGAATCAGATGCCGAGGCTCCCCAGGAATTGGCAACAGGACGCAGAAGGACAGTAGGGATACTGGATATGGGAGGAGCCTCTCTCCAAATTGCTTATGAAGTTCCTACCTCAACTTCTGTCCTTTCTCCACAACAGGTATTTTACCTTTTGGGGGAATTCAGTGGCTAGGAATGCCAGTCTTTGAGAAGGAAGGGCACTATGTTTGGACTTAGACCAAATGGCCTGGGTCCAAATGTTGGTTCAGATCATTGCTAGCTTGTGTTATCTTGGGTTGGTTACCTCTCTGAGCCTCAGTTTCCTCGTGTGTAAAAACAGAATAATAATAGTATCTACTTCATAAAGTTGTGAGGATGAAATAATACCACGTGTATAAAGCACTTAGCAAGCTGCCCAGCACGTAATAACGTTTAATACATTTTAGCAATTATAACTATACTACTTATCTGGAAGGGTTGCCTGAGGATTAAGCATGATAATATAAATCCTGGAGTACAGTATTTATTACATACTTGTTAATTAAACGTTATTCCCTTTCCTTTACTGATGATTCCACCCTTGTGCTTCTGTTATTCCTTACCTGACTAGAATGTAAAAATGTATTTTGAGGGAGAAGTTTCATCATACAGAGGAAAAAGAAATAAAACATTTTTTAGCACCTAGTATGTGCAAGAAATAAGACATGTTACACTGCCCCCAAAAGCTTATAATCTATCAGTGGAGACAGCCTGTGATAACAGGCAGACCATGACAGTGTTGTAATTTGATCTAAACCAGGGTTTCTCATCATTGGCACTATTGGCATTTGGGGCTGAATAAGTCTTTGTTGTGGAGGGCTGTTCTGTGCATTATATGATGTTTAGCAGCATCCCTGGCCTCTATCAGGTGCAGCAACGCCCGTACTTCCCCCAAACTCCCAGTTTTGACAATTAAAAGTGTCTTCAGACATTGCCAGATGCCCCGGGGGGTGCAAAATCACCTCTGGTTGAGAACCTTGGGTCTAAACAGAGAGCCGCAGCAATGTGGGAACTGGCAGGGTCAACCCCATTTGCAAAGGCTTGAATAGGAGCCTTCCATGCTGCCTTCATGGAAAGTAAGGTATTTACCTGGGCCTTGGATGATAGCAGGCTTTTGCATAGTGGAGGTTGAGGGAAGGCCATCTGCATGGAGGTGACAGTATGCACAAAGGCACAGAAAACAGCAAAAGCCCAGAATGTCCAGGTGATGATGAATAGCCTGTTGCAGTATGGGATTTTCAAGTGTGGTAATAGGGAAGGCTGGGAAGATAAGATGAAGTTAGATCATAAGGAGTCTTGGGTGCCATGCTAGGGGATTTGGCTTTTTTATCTGTAGACAGTGGGGAACCAGCAAAGGTTTTTGAGTAGGGCAGTCATATGGGCCTAAGTTTCATCATCTGTGAAATAATTAAACTCTGAAGGTCCCCAGCTCTGAATTTTGTGACTATATGTTAATTGTGTGACTGAGTTCCAATCTATTTCTTTTTCTTTTTTTTTAAAGTGAAAGCTTTGCTTATCTGCGGGTGCCTGACTTACATCCTCCCCTATGTGACAGAGGATGTCACAAGCCTGCATCTGACATTCATTAATTAATTTATTTTTGCTGTGTTGGGTCTTTGTTTCTGTGCAAGGGCTTTCTCTAGTTGTGGCAAGCGGGGGCCGCTCTTCATCGCGGTGCGCGGGCCTCTCACTATCGCGGCCTCTCTTGTTGCGGAGCACGGGCTCCAGACGCGCAGGCTCAGTAGTTGTGGCTCACGGGCCTAGGTGCTCCGCGGCATGTGGGATCCTCCCAGACCAGGGCTCGAACCCGTGTCCCCTGCATTAGCAGGCAGATTCTCAACCACTGCACCACCAGGGAAGCCCCCCAATCTATTTTTTAAGAAAATAATTTTGGTGTCAGGAGAAAAAACTGTAGGTTGGGGAACCTTGGGTGAGAAGTGCTAAAGAGCTAAACTAGACAGTGTAAGTGGAAATGGAAGGGAGGGGACAGATTTCAAGGGATATTTTGGAGTAAAAAAACAGTGTAACGTGGTGATGTGGGTAGGGCAGGAAGGGATGGCCAGATGCTAAGGGTCCAGCTTAGGTAACTGGAAGGGTGAAGAACCTAGTCACTGAGAGAGAGAGACCACAGGGGAAAGGGCAGGGTTGATGCTAAGCACACAGGTATGGTTTGGGTGAGAGTATCTTTCTGGTCTCTAGCTCTGAAGTCCTATCACCAAGCAGTTCAATTTTGGGTATGTTGAAAATGTGGGTTTGGCATTCAGAAGAGATTGTCTGTGGTGGGGTTGCAGATTTGGGGAACTAGGTTATGAGACTGTTTAGTCTATATTTGTTAGTATGTATTCAACAGGTAAAATGAAGGCATGGTTCTGATACTAAGGAATAAGTGACAGGTGGCATTGAGCCTTAAAGTCTTAAACAAATGGCTTTTTGTGTGTGTGCAGACTTAGAAAGCAACACTGGTATAGAAAGTATATTTGCAAGCAACAAATTAGATGTGTACATAGCAATATAATGGATCTTTGTGCTTAGTAAAGAAAGGAAAGAAACAAAGAGACATAACACAATAGTACTTTAAACATTTTAAATAATCCTAAATATCTAATTTTTTGTACCGTTCACAAAGTTGTGCAATCACCACTGTCAAATTCCAGAACATTTCATCACCTCAAAAAGAAGCCCTGGGCTTCCCTGGTGGCGCAGTGGTTGAGAGTCCACCTGCCGATGCAGGGGACACGGGTTCGTGCCCCGGTCCGGGAAGATCCCACATGCCACGGAGCAGCTGGGCCCGTGAGCCATGGCCGCTGAGCCTGTGCGTCTGAAGCCTGTGCTCCGCAATGGGAGAGGCCACAACAGTTACTCACCATTCCCCTCTCCCCAGCCCTGACAACCATTAATCTTTCTGTCCCTATGGATTTGCCTATGGAACCATAAAATATGTGGCCTTTTATGTCAGCCTTCTTTCATTTAGCAAAAGTTTTCAAGGCTTATCCATGTTGTAGCAGATATCAGTACTTTATTCCCTTTTTGGCTGAATAACATTCCATTGTGTGACCATGACACATTTTGTTTATCATTCATCAGCTGATGGACATTTAGGTTGTTTCCAGTTTTTGGCTATTATGGATAGCGCTGCTATGAGCACTCATGTAACATTTTTGTGTAGACATGTTTTCAGCTTTCTTGAGTATATACCTAGGAGTGGAATTGCTGGGCACAGTAGCATTTTCAGAAATTTAAAATAAATACATTCAAAACAATCCCATTTTGCAACAATACATACAAACAAATACTACATATTAAGCACATTAGAATGATTGCCTGTGGCAAGAGCCAGAATGGCAGTGAGTATGAGGATAAAAGGAAGTAAATAAATAAAATGAAAGTGGGGCTTTGCCATGATAGTGTGCCATGAACTGAGGAATATGACTAATTCAACCTCTGTACCTGAAGTCAAAAAAAAAACAAAAACAGAGGTACAATAAAATTGAACTTTTCTAATCCTCAAATCTGTCACAGGGAATATTAAGGCATCTTAAATAGTTTTAGAAAAAGCCATAGAATAGATCTCATGATGATCTCTCAAATTCCTTAAATTTATTTGTCAAAGGATTTTTTTTTTTTCTTTTTGGCTGAAGTAGAAAAGGATAGCAAAGGGAGACACACCAGGCTTCTGCCTCAAAAAACTAGGGAGACACACCAAGCTTCTGCCTCAAAAAACTATGTGTCTCTGGATTTTTTTTTTTTTTTGATTATAAAAATAGTACATTCCCATTTTGGAGAATTGGAAAATCAGAAAAGTACACGCCAGATAATGACATCATCTGTAATGATTCTACCTTCTGTCTAACTACAGAAAGTATTTTAGTCTCTAATTTGTTATTTAGTCTCTGATTTGTTCCTTTTTGTGTAGTCTTGTCATTTTATGTCTTTGTTTAAAATAATGCTGTGAGGTTGAAAGAATGCTACAAGACGTTTTAAAGAGTAGTCATAGCAGATGAAATCTAGTGTGTTAGCAATGTCATACCTTTCTAGAAGTCAACCGAAAGTAAAGTTCCCTTTACATCGTATTACAGGAAGAAGCTGCGAAGATCTTGCTGGCCGAGTTCAACCTGGGCTGTGATGTGCAACACACTGAACATGTGTATAGGGTTTACGTCACAACCTTTCTGGGATTCGGGGGCAACTTTGCCCGGCAGCGCTATGAAGACCTTGTGATGAATGAAACTCTTAACAAAAACAGGTATGTTTGACATGGGATCTGTGATTCTGAAATAGAATGTTGTCAGGCTGCAGATATTAGGAAAAAATGGTTACATCCTACTAGATAGATACGTCCTTGCTTCCTCCTTTCTGACCACCCCTGCCAATGTGGTAGCATCTTTTAGAGACCCTCTATTAGTAGTCCCACTTGATCTGCTTGAGAGTGCCTTCTAATCTTTGTTATTAAGACTCAAAAATGTACAGTGGCTTATTGTGGTGACTTCTTGCTGCGCCCATCTTCAGACATGGTACCACAGGATAAGTGAGATCAATTAAGTCACCAGTTTAAGTTGTGCAGTGCAGTGTAGCTACTGGAAGTTCATTTTATCAATACATGGAAGTGCGCAGGACATGTTTTCTGAATTACAGTGGAGTTGCATCTTACGTGGGACTTAAGGTTCCATAGTGTGCATAAAAGATTAAAAGTATCTTAATCAAAATTAGCCTTTAAAATAGTAGTTAAAATTAGCCTTTAAAATATTCTCTTTAAGTCCAGAATAGACATTTTTTCCTCTAGCATTGGACAGACCACTGATTCTTCATTGTGTACCAGATGAAGTATTTAGACCATAATGTACAAATAGTTGTGGGGTTTTTAGCATTTAAAATTATTTTTATCATTATGCACATTAAAGGAAAGCATAATAGAGAGCAGAGTTCTTTTCCACCATAAAACTATTTACCCCCATTTGTTTAGCTGGAAACAGTGGCTTGAAGAGCTACTGGTTTATCCCGTTTGTAATAATTTCTCTACAGTAGTCAATTGCCTTGTATTGGGAGCATGTTAAAGAAAATATTGTCTCATAAGTCTTTTTTGTTTTTCTGAGTCTAAACTCCTAAGAGTTCAAGGTGCTTTGGGAGAATCCTGTTATCTGGATGATTGATGAATGTATTAAAACCAAGCAGTGTGTTTGTATTCTGAAAGTACTCTTAAATCCATACAAATGTTGCTTGGGTTATGGAGTTCAGATCACTATGGCATCTGAAGAACAATTACTATGAAAGTTTCACGCCAACTTTAGCCACTGTGCTTCCTCTTCCATTTCCTTCCTTTGTTGTTTTGCTGCTCTTTTATCTCTGTATCATGTTTTTTGCTGCCTCGGAAGAGGCTGCAGCATCTTCTTCTCATGCATTGGTATTTTTTTTACCATGTATCTAAGTTACCTAGTTCAGAAGATTGATTACTCATCTTGTGTATCTGCTAATCTATAGAGAAACCTGTGCTTCCTGGGATGTTAAAACTTAATGTTTCTCTCTTTTTAATAATGTTCTGAGTTTTCCTTATAGGTGGTGTCACATCTTTAAAGTAGGTTCCACTTGTTCCAAAGCATTTTGTTGTGTTGCCACATTACCATTCCCTCCTTCAGTCTCTACACTTGTGGGTGCATCTTCATCCCAGGAAGTCCACTCTTCAACATTTGTCTTAGGGACTGATGAGTAATTAACTGTAGCTGGCCAAGTTATTTGGTCTCTACTTAATTTCCACCTTTGGCCAGATCTGCATATTAATCTCTTTAGGAATGAGAATACTGTTGCTAGACAAGTACAGACTTTAGTTAACCAGAGCTGTGTGATGGCCATGGTGGGAATCAAAACCTGCCCCTCCCTTCCCCCTCAGAGCTGGGCATGTACTCGGTCACTTTTGCCACCCATCGCCAATGCACCACTGCCATGGTCCCTGCCTCAGGACACTCCTCAGCCCTTCCCACTTCACCTCCTCCCAGTTGTTTTTTTAAACATTAGAATTGCGCTCAGAATGGTGAGATCTTTTCACTTTTAAGAGGCAAATGGGAATGAAGACCAGAGGGAGAACAGCAGATTCACATCTCCAGTTTCACTATACATTGGGAAATATACATGTTGACTAAAAGGTTGAACAAAATCACTGCCATATTTCTTTCTTTTTCTAAATTGAATTTGCATGATTTAAATGTTCACGTGACACAACTACGTGGTAACACTCCATCCTTGTTTTTAGGGGTGTCATGTAGAAGAATAACAAGATATCTGGGAAGCATCTTAGAGGAGGCTCAGTACAGTACTGATGTGTTTTGTTTGTTTTTGTCATTGTGACAGGTTGCTGGGCCAGAAGACAGGTCTGAGTCCTGACAATCCATTTCTAGATCCCTGCCTGCCTGTGGGACTCACAGATGTGGTGGAAAGGAACAGCCAGGTCCTTCATGTCCGAGGAAGAGGGGACTGGGTGGCTTGTGGGGCCATGCTGAGCCCCCTGTTGGCTCGCTCCAGCACCAGCCAGGCCTCGCTGAATGGCATCTACCAGTCACCCATTGACTTCAACAACAGCGAGTTCTACGGTTTCTCCGAGTTCTTTTACTGTACAGAGGATGTGTTACGCATCGGTGGCCGCTACCACGGGCCAACGTTTGCCAAGGCTGCTCAGGTAAATTATTAATAATAAAGTGACTCATCCTGGCAGCAGCCATTTATTGTACGCCTGACTTTGTACCAGATGCCGTGCGAAGGGCTTTGCATGCATGATCTCACTGGATTCTTGGCAGGAGCCCTGTGAGCCCTCATTTTACAGATGAGGAGGTGGACTTAGAGAAGTTAAGGAACCTGCTGTGCTATACTGCCTTCTAATTAATTAAGCTTAGGTTTCCACGGGTGTCCTATTACCCAAATTATCACCCAGGCCTAATATTGTCATGGTGGTTAATGGTTTTTTCCTCCAACTTTCCAATAGTCTTAATTAATGTTTGTGGCCAAAAGTGTCATCTCCAGGTATTTTTCCCTTACTGGTTGTTCCCAGGTGTAATGTGCTTTTGGAGATGATGTCACACAGGTGGGCAAGTCCACTTTCATTTTCTTACCTTGAGTTTTAAGGATGGTATAGGGTCACTTAGAATATTAAAAAGATGTTGCAAAAAGCAATGATAGTGCATTTAAATTGCAGAAGAAGTAAACATGCACTTAGAGCACATTTAGGACTTAAGCATCTTATAGGTTTAAAACATTAGTTATTTGGACAGGTAAAAGTTTAGCTAGCTTTCTGCAGTGTCTGCTTTAATTTGGATTCATCTCTTTTTAATTTTTGTATATCTGTCTCTTTTTTTTGTGGTACGCGGGCCTCTCACTGTTGTGGCCTCTCCCGTTGCGGAGCACGGGCTCCGGACGCGCAGGCTCAGCAGCCATGGCTCACGGGCCCAGCCGCTCCGTGGCACGTGGGATCCTTCTGGACTGGGGCACGAACCTGTGTCCCCTGCATCGGCAGGCGGACTCTCAACCATTGCGCCAACAGGGAAGCCCTATCTGTCTCTTTTATCAGAAAAATTTATGGGGAGATCTGTCCTCTTTTATATTTTTTATTCTTTCCCTTCTGCTTTCTTAGAATTCTCTAAGGTTCGCTTGGTATAAGGCTTCCAAAAGGAATAATATCTGCAGTGTTAGTACTATTCTGTTCTCTAAAGGCAGTCCCTAAGAAATAGTGAGGAAAACCTGGTTTGTATTTGCCCTTGCCTCTAGGAATACCCTCATATTCCCTTTCCTTTCCAGCGTCCCCTAAGCGTCCATAGCCTGAATCTTTCTCTCATTTTAAAACTTCCTCAAATCCTATTCCCTTGAACATCAAAGGGCTCAGGTTATTACTTGCCCAAACTGCTAGTGGCTTAATATGTTTTCTTTCCTAGGTAAAAGATGATATCGTTCGCCCTTTGTTTTTTTTAACTTTGACTCAACTGTTATCGTCCCAGTGACACCTTCCTTGGCCATCCTATACAGAATTGCAGCCCTCCCCAATATTACCTATTTCCCTTTCCTGCTTTATTTTTCCCATGAGCACTTACATCATCTAACCCACTCTGTGTATGTATGTGTATATGTATGTATGTATGCATGTATATTTGGTTATTGTCTGTCCCCCACCACTAGAAAGTAAGCTTCATAAGGAACGAAATTTTTGTCTGTTTTATTCACTGCTGGATCCCCCTGGCACCTAGAATAGTACCTGGCATACAGTAGACATGCAGGAAATGTTAGTTCACTGAACAAACGAAAAGGAATGATTCCTTTGGTGAGAATTACAACACAGAGGCAGGCCAGTGATAGATCTTTTTTTTTTTTAATATAAATTTATTTCATTTTTGGCTGCATTGGGTCTTCATTGCTGCAAGCGGGCTTTCTCTAGTTGCGGCGAGCGGGGGCTACTCTTCGTTGCGGTGCGCGGGCTTCTCATTGCGGTGGCTTCTCTTGTTGCAGAGCACAGGCTCTAGGCGCACAGGCTTCAGTAGTTGTGGCACACGGGCTCAGTAGTTGTGGCTCACGGGCTCTAGAGCGCAGGCTCAGTAGTTGTGGTGCACGGGCTTAGTTGCTCCGCGGCACGTGGGATCTTCCCGGACCAAGGCTTGAACCCGTGTTCCCTGCATTGGCAGGCGGAGTCTTAACCACTGTGCCACCAGGGAAGTCCCAGTGATAGATCTTTGACCATTTTCTGTTCCATCTGTTTGACCTACTCATGTCAGTCCTACATAGGATAGAATGAAGCTCTGTTTGGCTTTTGATGTTGCTACTCCTAGTCCTAACCTTACCCATATCTGAAGCCTAAGAGGCTCAGGAGCCATGTCAGGCAGGCTTCGTAGAACGTGGAGGCAATAGGAATAAAAAGGACTATTCCCAGGTAACTCAAGTCACTCAGTGGCCTGAGTTCAGGGACTTGCTTTGCCCAGGACCTAGCACTGTGTTTGGTGAATGAATATGCCATTTCTGTTTTCCTTTGTCAACTAGTATCCCACAAGTAACTTTGGAAATGGAACAGCTATGACTGTGGCGGATTTACAGTTTGCCTCCCATTTCATGTTGCACCATTTCTCTGTGGTTGTTCCAGGATTACTGTGGCATGGCTTGGTCAGTACTCACTCAGAGATTCAAGAATGGCCTCTTTTCATCACATGCAGATGAGCATCGACTCAAGTAAGTAACTTCCTTTTCTCCCTTAGATGTGGCCTTAAAATGTATGAACGGGACTTCCTTGGTGGTGCAGTGGTTAAGAATCCGCCTGCCATTGCAGGGGACGTGGGTTCGAGCCCTGGTCCAGAAAGATCCCACATGCCACAGAGCAACTAAGCCCGTGCACCACAACTACTGAGCCTGCGCCCTAGAGCCTGCGCGCCACAGCTACTGAGCCCACACGCTGCAACTACTGAAGCCCATGCACTCTAGGACCCGCATGTCACAATTATTGAGCCCCCGTGCTACAGCTCCTGAAGCCTATGTGCCTAGAGCCCGTGCTCCACAACAAGAAAAGCCACCGCAATGAGAAGCCCAAGCACCGTGACAAAGAGTAGACCCCGCTCGCCGCAACTAGAGAAAGGCTGTGCGCAGCAATGAAGATGCAACACAGCCAAAAAAATAAAATTAAATTAAACTTTTAAAAAAAGTGTATGAACAATGAATGAAAGAGAGCGAGTGATAGTACAGATTGGATTTTATGTTGAAGGAGAATTTGGTTACTTCAGATTTTGATTTTCTGAAGGGTAGAGGCCAAAATAGTGAGCTTATTTTAGTGAAGCCAAGGGAAACTGGTGGTTACCAAAAAGTGTTCTCTCCAGGTGGTTTTAAATCAAAAGTGGTGGTCTTTTTATTTTTAAATTTTTATTAAAATATCAAACATGCAGAAAAGTAGAAAGAACAGTAACAGAAACCCACATGTAACTGTCACCCAGCTTGAACACATATCAATATTTTGCCAGTTTGGTTCATCAGTCCTCCCATTTTGTAAATGTTTTAGTTAAAAAAAATTTAAACATAAACAAAAATAGAACAGTTTAATGAACTCCTGAATATCTGTCACCCAGCTTCTCTCCTAATAGCTGTCAGCTTCCAGCCCTCTTGTTTCATCTGTTTTCCCACCCCACAATTCAGTCATTTTGAAGCAAATCCAAAACATCATATTTGTAGATATTTCAGGATTCTCCCTGAAGATAAGGGCTGTTAGAAAAAAAAGAAAGAAAAAGAAAAGTAAAACGTACTCACAATAGTGTTGTTACATTGCATAGAGGTGTTCTTCCCTTTTGTGTTAAATGTTAACATAAAGGAGGCTCAGATTTGGCTCCACCTAGAGGTGAGGAAGGTGAAACGGGGAAAGAGAGGTCTTTTTGACATCTAGTGGGAATATGCAGAAAGCATTTGAATTCTTTTTTTTCTTCTTTTTTAAAAAAAATTTTATTTTTATTTTTGGCTGCATTGGGTCTTCGTTGCGTGCAGGCTCTCGCTAGTTGCGGCGAGCAGGGGCTACTCTTCGTTGCGGTGCGCAGGCTTCTCATTGCGGTGGCTTCCCTTATTGTGGAGCACAGGCTCTAGGCGTGCAGGCTTCAGTAGTTGTGGCACACAGGCTCAGTAGTTGTGGCTTGCAGGCTCTAGAGCACAGGCTCAGTAGTTGTGGCGCACAGGCTTAGCTGCTCCGTGGCATGTGGGATCTTCCCGGACCAGGGCTCAAACCCACATCCTCTGCGTTGGCAGGCGAATTCTTAACCACTGCACCACCAGGGAAGTCCCTCTTTTCCTTCTTTAAAAAAAACTAATTATTTCTTGTCACACAGATATCAGTGTTTTAAGTCAGCTTGGATGTACCAAGTTCTTCATGAAGGATTCCACTTTCCCTATGACTACCCAAATCTGCAGACAGCCCAACTGGTCTATGACCGAGAGGTTCAGTGGACACTGGGAGCCATTTTGTATAAAACACGCTTCTTACCACTCAGGTAAAGTGGACTGACCAAGCTGGCATCTTGAGCTCAGAGGATGTTAGTTGGTGCCTCAGAATAGGTTTCTTAAGTAACCTCCCCCTCAAAAAACAAAAAAAACCCACCCAAACTCCCCTTATTACTGCCACGTGAAACTACTATTACTTACCAGGCATGTTGAAACAGAAAGAAGTCTGAGAATTATTGGTCTGGAGTATGTTCTTCTTTGCAATTTCAGGAATTCAGTGGTTTTTTTTGGCCGTGCCACGTGGCTTGTGAGATCTTAGTTCCCTGACCAGGGATTGAACCCACGGCCTCGGCAGTGAAACCACCAAGTCCTAACCACTGGACCGCCAGGGAGTTCCCAGGAATTCAGTTTTGTTTATCTACAACAAATCAATCTTTAGAATTAAGCTCTTACTAACAACTTCTAACATACTGACTGATGAACTAAAGTTACTCTGGAACTATCTCTATCTGACTAGAGGACTGGGATATGTTGTTCCTATACAGCAATCTTTCCTAATGGGTAGAGTCACTCTAGAGATGTCATTGACTTGGAAGGCTTTTTGGTGGGCCAGAGTTAGAACAAAGGACCTGAGATGCTTTTAGGGGATGTCTTGCTCTTACGTACCATAAGATATTTGGGATAATTTGTAGGTGCTCTCTCCTCTGGACTATTTTAAATAAACTAAGATGAACCCTTAATCTTTGGCGCCTGTTTCTTTAAAGTCAGTATAGAAGCCAGGCGGGTGAGAGAAGTGGGGAACTGGAGAGTATGTGCCCCGAACAAAAGGCTGATTACGTCATGCAGAAGTGCTGTCCCAGCATCTGCCAGCTCTCCTTTGTCGAGAAGCCAGAAATCCATATTTTATATGTGGTCTTTCTGTTTGGAGATTCACATCTTTAAAAAACACTGCAGGTCAAACAGAATGAAAATGGATCTGGTATCTGGACCATGAGAGAAGGACTTCTGTTCTAGACAGATCATTACACTTAGATTTACATGTCTATTTTTTCTTCAGTTTACAATACAATTGATTAAGTGACAGCTTTCTCTAGATAAATCCTAAATCCTCAGGAAGCACAGCAACTTTTTTTTTTTTTTTTTTTTAAGATTTAGATATACTCTGATTTCTTGATTAGATTCAGGGGCCACCCTACTCATTAGCACCATATTTACAAACTGTGTAGGCCAGGGTGGTATGGGGTCACTGTTAAGACTTATTTGACAGATGACCAGTCTTGTCTTACTGTTCATTTCTTTGGCTTCTAATTTTGCCCCCAGATTCTAGAGGGGGTAGGCCTGTGAGGCTCCCTCTAGGCCGGGGAAAGGAAGGTACAGAAGGAATCACACATACCAGCTCTGGGCCTGGGGACATGCTTCAGCTTTGCTTGCTCTGTGGAGCTGGTATTATAGCATGTTTACATGGATGGAGTAAATGGGTAAAACCTCTGGGCCTTTTAAATTGGCATAAATATTTCTCTCCTAAACTAACATTTCTTTCCACCTTCTTCCTTAGGGATCTACGGCAGGAAGGTGCCCGACAAGCCCATGGTAGCTGGTTCCGTCTCTCCTTTGTGTACAACCACTATCTTTTCTTCGCCTGTATCCTGGTGGTGCTACTGGCCATCATCCTGTACCTTCTGCGGCTACGCCGAATTCACCACCGACAAAGTCGAGCCTCAACCCCATTGGACTTACTGTGGATCGAGGAGGTGGTGCCCATGATTGGGGTACAGGTTGGGCCATGAGGCTGGACAGGTTCTAGGGGAACTCAAGTATTCAGAATTGCTGCCCATTGAATTCCACCACTTTCTGGTACTGGCCTCAGATGCTGCTTTGCCTGACTTTGTGGATATTTGGCCTTGAAATTTCTACTTTAATACCTACTTTAATTCATTCTCAATATCCAGGTCCTCTTCTCTGAGAGAAGCTGTAATTTACTCTATGAAGAACTAAATGAGAGATTGGTGCTAACAAAGGGAACCAACTTTAGTCCAATTGAAGCATGCTTCTACTACTTTATCTGAGTGATTTGGTGTGCTCCTGGGATCTAGACTTTTCTCCCCTTAAAGCTTGAAGTTTGGCATTGGGCACACTGGAAGTCTGGTTGAAACCAAACTTGGAGCATCTGATTCAAAGCCGAAGACATTCTAGCAAGTGCAGCAGCCCCTTCTTTCTCTGTAACAGAGATATCACTTATGTGGAGATCCACAGCCTTTAAGAGGGATCCAAGATCTTTGCAGTTCAGTGGAACAAATAAGAATTTCCAGGCAACCAAAATAACACAGCTTCTTTGCTTACTCGACAAAGAAGCCATTGTGAGTGTGGTCCAAGATCCCTGACATACTGTTGCTGATGTTAGTTCGTGATTTTAAAAGGTTAGAACCCTTTCTAAATGAATGGTCCATTGACGATTTTAACAATATGTTATCTGATGCCTGGTAAGACCAGGATAGAAAATTTTTCCATGTCTATGTGCCTCACAGGCTGTTTGGGCATTAATTTTTCTTTTTGAACCTTAAGTGTGCTTGTAGGGTTGGAGAGACTGTGATGGGAATTGGAGACCTAGATTTTTCTGGTTTCAGGTCACTGTCCTCTAGGCCTATTTTTTTTTTTTTTTAACATCTTTACCTCTAGGCCTATTTTTATGAGTCCTTATGTGGGAAGATTAAAAAAAAAAGAGTTCCTTTATTTCACTGCTAAGATCAATATGTATTTTGGGAAGGGATGCATTTGGATTGTTTTTAAAGAAGGAAAAAACAGTATCAGGAGAGTGGACAAAGGCAATAAAATCCAAGCTCTTATTTATTAATGTTTTTCTGAGAAACAGAAGTTCTCTCAGTTTGACTCTTGGAATATTTGAAAAGAAGCAAATCCCAAACTTTGGAATAAACAGATAAATCTGTTAATAATCTACCTGGCAACTTTCAGAATATTTTTAAGAGATTTCTCAGTCATAAACAGCATTTCCATTAATGGGGAGAGAGGAAAAGCCATAGTAATTACATTTTTATCTCCTACCCTTCAGGAGCTTTGCTTTTTCTCTGCATTTAGCCTTCAAATTGCACAAGGATTTCTTTTTCATCCCCGTGGAACCTTCTTTATACATTAATAACCATTCCTCTATGTAGCCTTAAATGTCCTGCCCAAGAATATGCTCCCAGAGTTAAAGCAGTTTTCTTTTTTGTCAGCTTTGAGTTCTAGGATTACATGAGTAGGGGAAAGGTCCTTGACTTTAAAGGGAAAAGAAAGTGGAATTCTTAAAAAATAAATTCCATACTGGGAGCAGAAAGGAATTAAGTGCTTCATAAAACCAAGAAGAATAAATCCAAATCCTCCTAGAACTATACTGGGTTGAAAATAAGTATACTGACTCTTGGTTGGTAGGTGAAAAAATCATGAGTCTTGAATTGTTTTCAAATTAGATGAAAATGGTTCCAGCAAAGAGTCTTACAGGTTCCTTTGGAAGTACTTTTTACTTTTCATTAGGGCTTATGTCACAGCTTCCTTTAATTTTTAAGATTTCTAAATTGCCTTGATTTTCTTTGACTTCTTATCTTTGTACTGTGAGTGACCCCTTGCCTTATGAATGCTGCTTATAAATAATGTCATAATATGTTTTGCTAGCCATTGCCTACTCAGGTAACTCTTTTCCCCTCACCTTGGTTTCCAAATACTATTTTTGGTTTTCTTGTGTGATCTAGTCAAAGATCTCAAAAGCTGCCTAGTCGGCTAACAGTGATCACATCTGTATGCTCAGAATGAAACTGAAGCATGGAGGAGGTGGTGATTAGTCCAATCTAATTAGCTCAAAAGTTATTCTTCATCCTGGCTATGATAATAGCTACCATTTGCAAAGCACTTATTGTGTACCAGACACATCTTTAAGAATTTTATGTATGTTATTTACTCATCATGATAACCTTTCAGATTATTGTGTTCTTTTTATAGTTGAGAAACTCAGGATACCTGTTTATCATTTTTTCCATATAAATGTATTTCTTAATTTATTTTAATTAGTCTTTGATTGTTTTTTTTTTGTTTTTTTGTTTTTTTGTTTTTTTTTTTTGTGGTACGCGGGCCTCTCACTGTTGTGGCCTCTCCCGTTGCGGAGCACAGGCTCCAGACGCGCAGGCTCAGCGGCCATGGCTCACGGGCCCAGTGGCTCCGCGGCATGTGGGATCTTCCCGGACCGGGGCACGAACCCGTGTCCCCTGCATCGGCAGGCGGACTCTCAACCACTGTGCCACCAGGGAAGCCCTGAATTTTTTTAGTGTTATATCCTTTTATTATTTTAATATTATAGGATCTAGGGTTGTCTACTGCAGTGAGTAAGGCATCTTAGAGTTCCATGGTATAAAAATAAGGACGAATTTTTGTCATACCCCTCAGAAAAACTGAGTATTTGCTCTTGGTTCTGGTTCCTGAGCTTCGTCCATTGCTCCCAATTAAAAATTTTAAATCAAATCTCATTAGCTAGAAACAGAAGCCATTTATCCCTTGCTGAGTGCCAGTTATATATATTACTTTCTCAAAATGAAATATTCTTACTTATAGAATCAGACAGTCTATCTTCCCTTTAACCCTGTTTTTGCCCTCAGTTTTAAAAGATTTTTAAAGACTTCTATTTGCATTTCTGCATTTTGAGCGGTTCTCATGTGAAAATAATTATGATTTCATAAAATTCACATTCCACTGGCTCCTTTGAATCTTACCGAGCAGTCTTCCTTATAACAGCAGCAGTGAACCTGAACTGTTTCAGTGCTTTAATTACTGAGATAGGTCACAAATGTCAAAGTCGAGCCAGTGGCTTATAGGAGTGAGGCTTTATTATTATTTATGTTGGCACATCCCATCACTTTTCTCTGAATTCTTATCATGAGAACATAATAAAAATATGTATAATACCCAATTATTTGGCATTACATTCACTTAAGTTGCAGTTAATTCTAAGCCAAATTATACCATCTTTCTCTCTGTACCTTAGCTCCTTGAATTGACTTTCCTTGGTCTAGGAAATTTTAGGCACTTTCCCCCAACCTTGTATTTATTCTTCTAATGTTATCCAAAGTATTCTGCCTCTGCCCTCCTCAGCCTAAGAGCTTTCTTTAACTTCAGAGGCCTTAGGCAGTGATTATTAAAATGTGGTTGAGTCTGCCATACACTTGCTAAGCTAGTCATTTTAGGCATTAACACTTATTATCACCTCCATATTTATATTTTTGAGATACAGTAACTTCTCACTGGTATTATCTAGATGCCCCCCTCACCCCTATTCTCATAGTTTTGTGTTCTGCTTTTTGTCAGGGGTGAAGGACAAGTGGGTGGTGTGATTTAGGGCAAAGAACAGCAGGCTTCCAAACAGCAGATTTGGATTTTAGCCCTGGCTTTGTCATTAAGTAGCTCTGGTACCCCAGGCAAGTCACCTGCCCTCTCTGGTTCATTTCTCATCTATAAAACAAGATGGCTGGACAAGATGATCTGAGGCCAGTTCCAAAGGGAGAAAAACTGGCCTAAGGAACTAAAGGCAGAGAAGGTAGAGAAGTGATATAGTAGTTTCAGGAAGAGGATTGTGGCCTTTGGTTTAGAAGATCAGGCTGCCCAGAAGAACCAGTGGTCGTTTCCTACTTTATCCATAGTCCCTGACATTAAGGTTGGTGGGAATGGACTTTCCAAAAGCAATCATCATACATCAGTTTCAGAAAATGAGATTTTTTTTTATGCTACTGACAATTATTTATTGAAATCAGTGCTTAAGAAACTCTACCTGTGAACACTTTGAAATCCCAGTTCAAATCACATTAAACTATTCCATGATTCATACTTTCAACGAATTCATATTGGTCTGTCCCAGTTTATCCCAACTGGTGAAGTTTTACAAAATAAACATCTTTAGCTTCCTAGAGTTACATTTTTACTTGTTTGACTTATTTGCTGATTTTTATAATGTGCTTATATGATAAAAAATTCTATGAAAGTGCTAGGACTATTGGTTAGAGATTACTTTTTTTTTGAATTTTATTTTATTTATTTTTTTATACAGCAGGTTCTTATTACTTATCCATTTTATACATATTAGTGTATACATGTCAATCCCAATCTCCCAATTCATCCCCCCCCCCCGCAAATTTCCCCCCTTGGTGTCCATACGTTTGTTCTCTGCATCTGTGTCTCAATTTCTGCCCTGCAAACCAGTTCATCTGTACCATTTTTCTAGTTTCCACATATATGCGTTAATATACCATATTTGTTATTCTCTTTCTAACTTACATCACTATGTATGACAGTCTCTAGATCCATCCACGTCTCTACAAATGACCCAGTTTTGTTCCTTTTTATGGCTGAGTAATATTCCATTGTATATATGTACCACATCTTCTTTATCCATTCATCTGTCGATGCGCATTTAGGTTGCTTCCATATCCTGGGTATTGTAAATAGTGCTGCAATGAACATTGGGGTGCATGTGTCTTTTTGAATTATGGATGTCTCTGGGTATATGCCCGGTAGTGGGATTGCTGGGTCATATGGTAATTCTATTTTTAGTTTTTTAAGGAACCTCCATACTGTTCTCCATAGTGGCTGTATCAATTTACATTCCCACCAACAGTGCAAGAGGGTTCCCTTTTCTCCACACCCTTTCCAGCATTTGTTGTTTGTAGATTTTCTAATGATGCCCATTCTAACTGGTATGAGGTGATTCCTCATTGTAGTTTTTTTTTTCTTTTTTTTTTTTTTTTGCAGTATGCGGGCCTCTCACTGTTGTGGCCTCTTCCATTGCGGAGCACAGGCTCCGGGCGCACAGGCTCAGCGGCCATGGCTCATGGGCCTAGCCGCTCCACGGCATGTGGGATCTTCCTAGACCGGGGCACGAACCCATGTCCCCTGCATCGGCAGGCGGACTCTCAACCACTGCGCCACCAGGGAAGCCCCTCATTGTAGTTTTGATTTGCATTTCTCTAATAATTAGTGATGATGAGCAGCTTTTCATTTGCTTCTTGGCCATCTGTATGTCTCTTCGGAGAAATGTCTATTTAGGTCTTCTGCCCATTTTTGGGTTGGGTTGGTTTTTTTTTTTTTTTTTTTTCCATTGAGCTGCATGAGCTGTTTATATATTTTGGAGATTAATCCTTTGTTGATTCGTTTGCAAAAATATTTTCTCAGAAATATTTTCTCAAAAATAAATATTTTCTCCCATTCTGAGGGTTGTCTTTTCCTCTTGTTTGTAGTTTCCTTTGCTGTGCAAAAACTTTTAAGTTTCATTAGGTCCTATTTGTTTATTTTTGTTTTTATTTCCATTACTCTAGGAGGTGGATCAAAAAAGACCTTGCTGTGATTTATGTCAAAGAGTGTTCTTCCTGTGCTTCCTCTAAGAGTTTTATAGTGTCTGGTCTTACATTTACGTCTCTAATCGATTTTGAGTATATTTTTGTGTATGGTTTTGGGGAGTGTTTAATTTCATTCTTTTACATGCAGCTGTCCAGTTCTCCCAGCACCACTTATTGAAGAGACTGTCTTTTCTCCGTTGTATATCCTTGCCTCCTTTGTCATAGATTAGTTGACCATAGGTGCGTGGGCTTACCTCTGGGCTTTCTATCCTGTTCCATTGATCTGTATTTCTGTTTTTGTGCCAGTACCATATTGTCTTGATTACTGTAGCTTTGTAGTATAGTCTGAAGTCTGGGAGCCTGATTCCTCCAGCTCCGTTTTTTTCCCTCAAGACTGCCTTGGCTATTTGGGGTCTTTTGTGTCTCCATACAAATTTTAAGATTTTTTGTTCTAGTTCTGTAAAAAAGGCCATTGGTAATTTAATAGGGATTGCATTGAATCTGTAGATTGCTTTGGGTAGTATAGTCATTTTCCCAATATTGATTCTACCAATCCAAGAACATGGTATATCTCTCCATCTCTTTGTATCATCTTTAATTTCTTTCATCAGTGTTTTATAGTTTTCTGCATACAGGTCTTTTGTCTCCCTGGGTAGCTTTATTCCTAGGTATTTTATTCTTTTTGTTGCAATGGTAAATGGGAGTGTTTCCTTAATTTCTCTTTCAGATTTTTCATCACTAGTGTATAGGAATGCAAAAGATTTCTGTGCACTAATTTTGTATCCTGCAACTTTACCAAATTCATTGATTAGCTCTAGTAGTTTTCTGGTGGCATCTTTAGGATTCTCTATGTATAGTATCATGTCATCTGCAAACAGTGACAGTTTTACTTCTTCTTTTCCAATTTGTATTCCTTTTTTTTCTTTTTCTTCTCTGATTGCCATGGCTAGGACTTCCAAAACTATGTTGAATACTAGTGGTGAGAGTGGACATCCTTGTCTTTTTCCTGATCTTAGAGGAAATGCTTTCAGGTTTTTACCATTCAGAATGATGTTTGCTGTGGGTTTGTCATATATGGCCTTTATTATGTTGAGGTAGGTTCCCTCTATGCCTACTTTCTGGAGAGTGTTTATCATAAATGGGTGTTGATTTTTTTTTTTTTTTTTTTTTTTGCGGTACATGGGTCTCTCACTGTTGTGGCCTCTCCCATTGCAGAGCACAGGCTCTGGACGTGCAGGCTTAGCGGCCATCGCTCACGGGCCCAGCCGCTCCGCGCCATGTGGGATCTTCCCGGACCAGGGCACGAACCCATGTCCCCTGCATCGGCAGGCAGACTCTCAACCACTGTGCCACCAGGGAAGCCTCATGGATGTTGAATTTTGCCAAAAGCTTTTTCTGCATCTATTGAGATGATCATATGGTTTTTATTCTTCAATTTGTTAATATGGTATATCACATAGATTGATTTGCGTATATTGAAGAATCCTTGCATCTCTGGGTTAAATCCCACTTGGTCACGGTGTATGATCCTTTTAATGTGTTGTAGGATTCTGTTTGCTAGTATTTTGTTGAGGATTTTTGCATCTATATTCATCAGTGATATTGGTCTGTAATTTTCTTTTTGTGGAGTATCTTTGTCTGGTTTTGGTATCGGGTTAATGGTGGCCTCATAGAATGAGTTTGGGAGTGTTCCTT